CGCGAGGCGCCCGGGCGGTGCCCCGGCCCCCGGGCCGCCCGGCCCCGGGCCTCAAGCCACCGCCCCCAGGCCCCGCGCTGACGCTGGACGGTCCCCGCCTCCAAACCCCCCGCCCCGGCCAGAGAATAACTTACCTGTTTGCCGACGGAATCGCTCCTGCTCGCCCCTCTGACTGACTCCTCCGGCTCACCGTCTTCCCTTTGGGAGGAAAAGGTGGGACTTCCTGCCTCTCCGTGGAGCCACTTCCGGCGGTTCCCAGGACGACTTCGACGTGGAAGGAGCGCCGGACACCACAACCAAACAACCGGATCTTGGAACTTGGTTTAGTAAGATCCAGGTCGAATTCCTTCTTTTCGACCCGCGTGGCTGGAGGCCCCGTGTGCCGTCTTGTTTTTAGCCCATCAGCTCTTGCCGGAAGTCACTCGGAGATGAAACAGGAAGTCCCACCCCTCCCCAAGAGAAGGAAAACGGAAAGCCGGAGGAGTCAATCTAAAGGGGGCGAGACGCGTCGGGCTTGAAGGCCTGAGGCGTCTTACCGGGAGGGCCGCCTGGGGTTTCCAGAGGCCACCATCGCGGCCTCCTTCCGGGCTGATTACGCCTTTTTCCTGCTCCCGTCCCACCTCCCCTCCACCCTCTCGCCCGCCCTCCATAAAGGATCCGAGGGCTACCTCAAACACGGAGAAGGCCCGAGCGGGAGCCGTCGAGGCCTGCGCCGGGGAGGGTGGCCCGGGCCCCTAGTGATTCTTGTCGCTTCTTTGGGGCTCTCATGTAAAGGGGCGAGATTTTAAACTGTGCGAGGCACGTGTGCTACTCTAGTTTATGAGAAAAATGTCTCGAGTGACTCTGAAATGTTCGGAGGAAGCCATGAGCCGAGTTCTCATACTAACGAGGAGGTTAAGAAGCCGAATGTGGCTTGTTGAACCGTTTGGCAATAAAAACTGAAAAGGCTTTGGGTGTTAGAAACGTTCCTCTATGGGCTTTTTAAGTGCAAGTTAACGCACAGTAGAAGGATTGTCAAGAAGAAAACAAGGCATGTCTGAGAGATGGTGGCACAGCCCCCCGCCATCTCGCGAGCCCATCCATAGAACCCTTTCTTGTGGAACGCAGTCTGGAAGGGAAAGCCTACGCAGACGAGCAAATACATCACAGCTTGATAAGTGCGCGACAAAGACCTACATACAGATGGGCAGTGATAACCGACTTGC